AACAGCTGGTTCAGTATTGCACTGAGTGTCGTAACACTGACAGTAGCATAGCTGGTGCAGTATCACACTGACAATAACACAGCTGCTTCAGTATCACAGGACAATAACACAGTTGGTGCAGTATCACAGTGAGTGCCGTAACACTGACAATAACATAGCTGGTGCAATATCACGGACAGTAATACAGCTGGTGCAGTATCACTGACAGTAACACAGCTGGTGCAGTATCACACGGAAGTAACACAGCTGGTGCAGTATCACACGGACAGTAACACAGCTCAGGGGAATGTCCTAGGAAGAAAGGTTGAGGGAAATCGGACTGACGACACTGGAGGACAGAAGGGTCAGGGGAGACATGATAACAACATACGAAATAATGCGTGGAATAGGCAAGGTGGATAGAGACAGGCTGTTCCAGAGAGGGAACACAGAAACAAGGAGTCACAATTGGAAGCTGAAGACTCAGACGAGTCACAGGGATGTTAGGAAGTACTTCTTCAGTCACAGAGTCGTCAGGAAGTGGAATAGCCTAGCAAGTGATGTAGTGGAGGCAGGAACCATACATAGCTTTAAGACGAAGTGTGACAAAACTCAGGAAGCAGAGAGAGACCTAGTAGCGATCAGTGAAGAGGCGGGGCCAGGAGCATGAGTCTCGACCCCTGCAACTACAATTAGGCGAGTACAATTAGGTGAGTACAGGTGCAGTATCACACGGACAGTAACACAGCTGGTACAGTATCACGGACAGTAACACAGGTGGTGCAGTATTACACGGACAGTAACACAGGTGGTGCAGTATTACACGGACAGTATCACAGCTGGTGCCGTATCACACGGAGAGTAACACAGCTGGTGCAGTATCACACGGACAGTAACAGCTGGTGCAGTACCACACGGACAGTAACACAGCTGGTGCAGTATCACACAGTAACACAGCTGGTGCAGTACCACACGGAGTAACACGGCTGGTGCAGTACCACACGGACAGTAACACAGCTGCAGTACCACACGGACAGTAACACAGCTGCTGCAGTATCACACGGACAGTAACACAGCTGGTGCAGTATCACACGGACAGTAACAGCTGCTGCAGTATCACACGGACAGTAACAGCTGGTGCAGTATCACACGGACAGTAACACAGCTGGTGCAGTATCACACGGACAGTGACAGCTGGTGCAGTACCACACGGACAGTAACACAGCTGGTGCAGTACCACAAGGACAGTAACACGGCTGGTGCAGTATCACACGGACAGTAATACAGCTGGTGCAGTATCACACGGACAGTAATACAGATGGTGCAATGTCACACGGACAGTAACACAGCTAGTGCAGTATCACACGGATAGTAACACAGCTGGTGCAGTATCACACGGACAGTAACACAGCTGGTGCAGTATCACACGGACAGTAACATAGCTGGTGCAGTATCACACGGACAGTAACACAGCTGGTGCAGTATCACACGGACAGTAACACAGCTAGTGCAGTATCACACGGACAGTAACGCAGCTGGTGCAGTATCACACGGACAGTAACACAGCTGGTGCAGTATCACACGGACAATAACACAGCTGGTGCAGTATCACACGGACAGTAACACAGTTGGTGCAGTAACACACGGACAGTAACACAGCTGGTGCAGTATCACACGGACAGTAACACAGCTGGTGCAGTATCACACAGTAACACAGCTGGTGCAGTACCACACGGACAGTAACACGGCTGGTGCAGTATCACACGGACAGTAATACAGCTGGTGCAGTATCACACGGACAGTAATACAGATGGTGCAATGTCACACGGACAGTAACACAGCTGGTACAGTATCACGCGGACAGTAACACAGCTGGTGCAGTATCACACGGACAGTAACACAGCTGGTGCAGTATCACACGGACAGTAACAGCTGGTGCAGTATCACAGTAACACAGCTTGTGCAGTACCACACGGAGTAACACAGCTGGTGCAGTACCACACGGACAGTAACACAGCTGGTGCAGTACCACACGGACAGTAACACAGCTGCTGCAGTATCACACGGACAGTAACAAAGCTGGTGCAGTATCACACGGGCAATAACACAGCTGGTGCAGTATCACACGGACAGTAACACAGCTGCTGCAGTATCACACGGACAGTAACAGCTGGTGCAGTATCACACGGACAGTAACACAGCTGGTCCAGTATCACACAGTAACACAGCTGGTGCAGTATCACACGGACAGTGACAGCTGGTGCAGTACCACACGGACAGTAACACAGCTGGTGCAGTATCACACAGTAACACAGCTGGTTCAGTACCACACGGACAGTAACACGGCTGGTGCAGTATCACACGGACAGTAATACAGCTGGTGCAGTATCACACGGACAGTAATACAGATGGTGCAATGTCACACGGACAGTAACACAGCTGGTGCAGTATCACACGGACAGTAACACAGCTGGTGCAGTATCACACGGACAGTAACACAGCTGGTGCAGTATCACACGGACAGTAACACAGCTGGTGCAGTATCACACGGACAGTAACACAGCTGGTGCAGTATCACACGGACAGTAGCAACTGGTGCAGTATCACACGAACAGTAACACAGCTGGTGCAGTGTCACACGGACAATAACACAGCTGGTGCAGTATCACACGGACAATAACACAGCTGGTGCAGTATCACACGGACAGTAACACAGTTGGTGCAGTATCACACGGACAGTAACACAGCTGGTGCAGTATCACACGGACAGTAACAGCTGGTGCAGTATCACACGGACAGTAACACAGCTGGTGCAGTATCACATGGACAGTAACAGCTGGTGCAGTATCACACGGACAGTAACACAGCTGGTCCAGTATCACACAGTAACACAGTTGGTGCAGTATCACACGGACAGTAACAGCTGGTGCAGTACCACACGGACAGTAACACAGCTAGTGCAGTATCACACAGTAACACAGCTGGTGCAGTACCACACGGACAGTAACACGGCTGGTGCAGTATCACACGGACAGTAATACAGCTGGTGCAGTATCACAAGGACAGTAATACAGATGGTGCAATGTCACACGGACAGTAACAGCTGGTGCAGTATCACACGGACAGTAACAGCTGATGCAGTATCACACGGACAGTAACAGCTGGTGCAGTATCACCCGAACAGTAACACAGCTGGTGCAGTATCACACGGACAGTAACACAGCTGGTGCAGTATCACACGGACAGTAACACAGCTGGTGCAGTATCACACGGACAGTAACACAGCTGGTGCAGTATCACACGGACAGTAACACAGCTGGTGCAGTATCACACGGACAGTAACACAGCTGGTGCAGTATCACACGGACAGCAACACAGTTGGTGCAGTATCACACGGACAGTAACACAGCTGGTGCAGTATCACACGGACAGTAACAGTTGGTGCAGTATCACACGGACAGTAACAGCTGGTGCAGTATCACACGGACAGTAACAGAGCTGGTGCAGTATCACACGGACAGTAACACAGCTGGTGCAGTATCACACGGACAGTAACACAGCTGGTGCAGTATCACACGGACAGTAACACAGCTGGTGCAGTATCACACGGACAGTAACACAGCTGGTGCAGTATCACACGGACAGTAACAGCTGGTGCAGTATCACAAGGACAGTAACACAGCTAGTGCAGTATCACACGGACAGTAACACAGCTGGTGCAGTATCACACGGACAGTAACACAGCTGGTGCAGTATCACACGGACAGTAACACAGCTGGTGCAGTATCACACGGACAGTAACACAGCTGGTGTAGTATCACACGGATAGTAACACAGCTGGTGCAGTATCACACGGACAGTAACAGAGCTGGTGCAGTATCACACGGACAGTAACACAGCTGGTGCAGTATCACACGGACAGTAACAGAGCTGGTGCAGTATCACACGGACAGTAACAGAGCTGGTGCAGTATCACACGGACAGTAACAGAGCTGGTGTAGTATCACACGGATAGTAACACAGCTGGTGCAGTATCACACGGACAGTAACAGAGCTGGTGCAGTATCACACGGACAGTAACAGAGCTGGTGCAGTATCACACGGACAGTAACAGAGCTGGTGCAGTATCACACGGACAGTAACAGAGCTGGTGCAGTATCACACGGACAGTAACACAGCTGGTGCAGTATCACACGGACAGTAACAGAGCTGGTGCAGTATCACACGGACAGTAACAGAGCTGGTGCAGTATCACACGGACAGTAACAGAGCTGGTGTAGTATCACACGGATAGTAACACAGCTGGTGCAGTATCACACGGACAGTAACAGAGCTGGTGCAGTAATCACACGGACAGTAACAGAGCTGGTGCAGTATCACACGGACAGTAACACAGCTGGTGCAGTATCACACGACAGTAACAGAGCTGGTGCAGTATCACACGGACAGTAACAGAGCTGGTGCAGTATCACACGGACAGTAACACAGCTGGTGCAGTATCACACGGACAGTAACACAGCTGGTGCAGTATCACACGGACAGTAACACAGCTGGTGCAGTATCACACGGACAGTAACACAGCTGGTGCAGTATCACACGGACAGTAACAGAGCTGGTGCAGTATCACACGGACAGTAACACAGCTGGTGCAGTATCACACGGACAGTAACAGAGCTGGTGCAGTATCACACGGACAGTAACACAGCTGGTGCAGTATCACACGGACAGTAACACAGCTGGTGCAGTATCACACGGACAGTAACACAGCTGGTGCAGTATCACACGGACAGTAACACAGCTGGTGCAGTATCACACGGACACATCCTCCGTTCTGAGGCAGCGACCAAATCTTTCACCTCCTACACTCATGTTTACAACCCAAATTCCTCCCCTTTCAACCCAACGCTGCTGCAAAAACAACGAATAAACGCACTCGCGCTCAGCACCACGCAGGATATAAAGCCAGCGCTCGAGAAAGGAAGTGCAGACAGAGATAAGGTGCATAGAAGTGATGAACTTACATCACACAACCCCCTTACGACGGCTGCCGGAGCAAGACTGACTGGCCGGCCCATGTTGGCGCCTCTATCCTGGAGCCCTTCTGTACACGGTTGCCAAGTCCTCTTCGCAGCTATTGTTACTTTTATTATTATTACTAATAGTATTATTATTATTATACATGGAGAGGGTTTCGGGGGTCAACGCCCACGTGGCCCTGTCTGTGACTAGGCCTCGCAGGGTTTGATCAACCAGGCTGTTACTGCTGGCCGCATGTAAACTGACGTACGAACCACAGCCCAGATGATCATGTACTGACTTTAGGTGCCTGTCCAGCGCCTTCTTGAAGACAGCCAAAGGTCTATTGGTAATCCCCCTTATGTATGCTGGAAGGCAGTTGCACAGTCTTGGGCCCCTGACACTCATTGCTTTTCTTGGGGGGAATGTTGCACCACCTGCTGAGTCTTTTGCTTTCGTAGGGAGTGATTTTCGTGTGCAAATTTGGTATAAATCCCTCTAGGATTTTCCAAGTGTATATTATTATGTATCTTTCTCGCCTGCGTTCCTGGAATACAAGTGAAGGGACTTCAACCGTTCCTAGTAATTTAGGTGTTATACCGTACTTATGTGGTCTGTGAAGGTTCTATGTACATTCTTCAGGTCGGCAATTTCACCTGCCTTGAAAGGCGCCGTTAGTGTACAGGAGTATTTCAGCCTAGAGAGAACAAGCGATTTGAAGAGAATCATCATGGGCTTGACGTCGCTAGTTTTGAAGGTTCTCATTATCCATCCAATCATTTGTGGTCTTTGAAAGTGAGATCCTCTGACACTATCACTCCCAGGTCAGTCACATTATTTTTTTCGCACTATTGTGTGGTTGGAATTTATTTTATACTCTGATATAGCTTTAATTTCTTCGTGTTTTTCATATCGTAGTAATTGAAATTTATCTTCGTTGAACTTCATATTGTTTTCTGCGGCCAATTTATAGATTTGGTTAAAGTCCGTTTGGAATCTTACAGTGTCTTTGATGGAGGACACTATCATGCAAACTCGGGTGTCATGCACAAAGGAAGACACGGAGCTATGGCTCACATCTCTGTCAGAAATGAAGATACGGAATGGGATGAGGGTCAGCACTGTGCCTTGTGGAACAGTGTTTCACTGTAGCCACCTCAGACTTTACTCTTTTTACTATTACTCTTTATGTTCTGTTCATTAGGAAGCTATAGATCTATCTACCAACTTTTCCCGTTATTCCTTTATCATGCATTTTGTGCGCTATTACACCATGGTCGCAAATTTATTACTATTTTTTATTATTATTGTTATTATCACTAGCATTATTGTTCGTTGTGGTTGTGTTATATTCATGGGGAAGCGCTAAACCAGTGGTGGTCATACAGCGTCTGTGAAATGGGAGGTAACCAGGTTTGATCCGAGGGAAAAAAAAAGGAGAGACTAGCTCCAGCTCCTTGGATCACGAGCCTAGACACAGAGGTTATCCCACAGTCACTAATAACAACGGATATAGCCCCACTCCACAAAGGTGGCAACAAAGTAACAGCAAATAATTACAGACCGATATCTTAACGTCTCACATTACAAAAAAATATCTGAAAGAATTCTAAGATCGCCAACCATTTGGATTCCCAACAACTGCACAACCCTGGCAGCATGGGTTTAAAGCAGGTTGGTTGATCCTGCCTCTCGCAACTACTGGACTATTATGACATGATTAATGCACTGGAGAACAAACAAAACGCAGATGTAGTATACACAGCTTTTTTACCTTCTAACCAACAGAACACAATGAGTAATTGTAAATAGAGTTAAGTCAGAGGCTGCAACAGGAGAAAAGTTGTTCCACAAGGTACAACACTCGCCCCTATTTTTTCTCATCCTCATATCTGACATAGACAGAGATGTAAACCATAGCATCGTGTTTTCCTTTGCAGACGACACTACAATTTCAATGAATGTCGTCCAATGAGAATACTGTAAATCTCCAAGTGGGTATAAATCAAGTGGTAAAGTGATCCACAGAAAACAACATGATGTTTAATGAGGATAAATTTCAGTTACTCTTTTATGGAAATTTTGAGGAAATAAAACCTGGAACGGAACATAAAGCAAATTCTAATCACTCCACCCACGAAATCGTATTAACACGATTGCAAACAAATCATGGAACGGGTGAGGCTTGAACCCATGGCAAGAGAGTCCTACTCACAGGTCAGTGTGTTAACGCACTGGCCTGTGAGTTTTAGTTATGTAGGCGACACATCCTAGTGGGACTGATACTAAATGTGAACACAGAAATCATTTCCTACAAAAGCAAAAGACTCGACAGACGGTGCAACGTACCCCTAATAAAAAGCAGGAGTGCTGTGAGTACAGTTTAGTTTAATATGTTTATTATGCACCCCATACCCATCCTGTGGGCGGTAGTCAAAAGATTACAGAGGTACATAATTGGTCCAGGGACTGGACTCCAAAGTTTTGATAGCTGAGCAAGTTACAGAGGTAATGAACTCACAATTTACAAAGGTAATGAACTCACAATTTACAAAGGTAATGAACTCCAGGTAGGTCTGGTCACAATCATGACAAGTTACAAAGGTATTTACAGATTACAGAGGTACGTAATGGGTCCAGGGACTGGGCTCCCAAAGTTTTGATAGCTGAACTAGGTACAAAGGTAATGAGCTCACAAGTTACAAAGGTAATGAATTCTGTAAGAATGGTTACTTACGTTTTATACATGGCTACAATCATGAACAAATTATAGTGTAATGAGCAATTCACACTTCCACACCCGGTCACAACTGTAGTGAGTTATTGGTGCAAATATTGATTGTTGAGACACACACACACACACACACACACACCACACACACACACACACACACACACAACACACACACCACACACACACACACACACACACACACACACTCACACTCACACACACACACACACACACACACACACACACAGTTTAGTTTAATATCTTTATTATGCACCCCATACCCATCCTGTGGGCGGTAGTCAAAAGATTACAAAGGTACATAATGGGTCCAGTGGCTGGACCCCAAAGTTATGATAGCTGAACTAGTTACAAAGGTAATGAACTCCAGGTAGATCTGGTCACAATCATGGCAAGTTACAGAGGTAATGAATCAGCCTCACTCCTATACATGGTTACAGTCATGAACAAATTACAAAGTAATGAACCACTGATACGTCCACACCTGGTCACAATTGTAATGAGTTATAAATACAATTATTAAGTGGATCATACACCCACACTAGCGCGCGCGCACATACACACAAGAGGGCGCACGCACGGACATGTGCACACGAGCGTACAAATATATGCATACACACAAGGACGCACACCCCACACACACACACACCACACAACCCACACCACACCCACACCTCACACACCCACACACACACCCACCCTCACACACACACACACACACACACACACACACACACACACACACACACACACACACACACACACACACACACACACACACACACACACAAGAGATTAGTGCAGAAGCTAGAGCATCAGGCGCATATAACAGGAAGGGCACTGCAATGGATCAGAGAATACCTGACAGGGAGGCAACAACGAGTCATGGTACGTAATGATGTATCACAGTGGGCACCTGTGACGAGCGGGGTCCCACAGGGGTCGGTCCTAGGACCAGTGCTATTTTTGGTATATGTGAACGACATGACGGAAGGGTTAGACTCAGAAGTGTCCCTGTTTGCAGATGATGTGAAGTTAATGAGGAGAATTAAATCTGATGAGGACCAGGCAGGACTTCAAAGAGACCTGGACAGACTGGACATCTGGTCCAGCAAATGGCTTCTCGAATTTAATCCTGCCAAATGCAAAGTCATGAAGATAGGGGAAGGGCACAGAAGACCACAGACAGTATAGGCTAGGTGGCCAAAGACTGCAAACCTCACTCAAGGAGAAAGATCTTGGGGTGAGTATAACACCGAGCATGTCTCCGGAAGCACACATCAATCAGATAACTGCTGCAGCATATGGGCGCCTGGCAAACCTGAGAACAGCATTCCGACACCTTAGTAAGGAATCATTCAAGACACTGTACACCGTGTATGTCAGGCCCATACTGGAGTATGCAGCACCTGTTTGGAACCCGCACTTGATAAAGAACGTCAAGAAACTAGAGAAGTACAAAGGTTTGCGACAAGGTTAGTTCCAGAGCTAAGGGGAAATGTCCTATGAAGAAAGATTAAGGGAAATCGGCCTGACGACACTGGAGGACAGGAGGGTCAGGGGAGACATGATAACGACATATAAAATACTGCGTGGAATAGACAAGGTGGACAAGGACAGGATGTTCCAGGGAGGGGACACAGAAACAAGAGGCCACAATTGGAAGTTGAAGACACAAATGAGTCAGAGAGATAGTAGGAAGTATTTCTTCAGTCATAGAGTTGTAAGGCAGTGGAATAGCCTAGAAAATGACGTAGTGGAGGCAGGAACCATACACAGTTTTAAGACGAGGTTTGATAAAGCTCATGGAGCGGGGAGAGAGAGGGTCTAGTAGCAACCGGTGAAGAGGCGGGGCCAGGAGCTAGGACTCGACCCCTGCAACCACAAATAGGTGAGTACAAATAGGTGAGTACACACACACACACACACACACACACATGGTAATGCATTATTTACAGCTAGCAAAGTCAGGGTATTTCTCCAGAATGGTCTGTAATATACCACTGTGGATAAAGTACTTTGCCATTTCTTGAACATTTCTGAGTGAGTTGTTTCTAAATTCATTAATTTGATCACACTCCAGTACATAATGATGCAAGGTGTGACAATAGTCCATCTGGCAAAGTTTACATTTCGTTTGGTCTACATCTGGTGGTGGTGATTTAAGCTGCCATAGATACTTGTAACCCAGCCGGAGCCGGGCAGTAGTGACATCCAAGAGTCTGCTTATCTTGTTGGATGCACCATAGACATGTGGCTCCTGAGTACACCAAACAGTAAAGACAATAAGTCCAAAACTATTCAA